GTGCTGGAGGTGCTGGAGGTGCTACTGGAGCTGCTGGCACTGGAGGTGCTGGAGGTACTGCTGGTGCTAGAGGCGCTGGAGCTGGAGCTGGAGGTACTGGAGGTGCTGGAGCTGCTTGTCCTGGAGGTTCTCGTACTAGAGGTGCTGGAGCTGCTGGAGCAGGTGGTGCTACTGGTGTTGGAAGTGCTACTGGAGCTGCTGGCACTGGAGGTGCTGGAGGTACTGCTGGTGCTAGAGGTGCTGGCACTGCCGGAGCTCGTGGTGCTGCTGTTGCTGGAGGTGCTGGAGGTGCTGGTGCTACTGGTGCTGGAGGTGCTGCTGGGAGTACTGGTGGAGCTGCTCGTGCTGGAGGTACGAGAGCTGCTGGTGCTCCTCGCCACCTTCTCAGTCTTCCGCCAGGTGCTACTGACTTCCCTGTGGCAGGTACTACTCCTCCGTTACAGTTTCCACCGGCAGACCAGTCACAGCCGCAGCTGCTACCGCACTCCTCACTGCCTACTCCTGCTCCCTACACTGCGGTGACACAGTCCCTGACTGAGCGTCGAGAGCCTAAGACTCGTGCTTCCACCCCTGAGCGTCGAGAGCCTGAGTCCATCTTTGACCTTGAGCCCGAGCCTAGAGCTGCTGTCCGTGCTCGTGTTCCTCGTGTTCGTCGTCAGCGTGCTCCGGCTGTCCCAGGCACTCACGATATGACACTCCGTCCTCCCTCTGTTCCACAGCGTGTTGTCCTGCCGTTACCTCCTGCGTCCTCTCTTCCTGACGTTGCTGACCCTCCGTCTGACCTTGCTCGTGCGTCCAGTCCGACTGTTACTCGCTTTCTTGCTACGGTGGTGACTGACCCTTCGTTCTCGTCTCCTGCTCCGTCTGCCTTAGTCGCTGAGCTCGTTGACTTTGCTCCTGTGTACCGCCTAGACTACCTTGCGAGTCTTGTTTCTGACCCTGTCCCTGCCTGTCCTCCGTCCATCAGGGGTGAGACTGCCCTTGGCTGTACTGCCCTTGGCTGTGACGTTCTTGAGGACAGGCAGGAGGAGCTGGAGTGCCTTGCGGCCGCTCAACCCCATCTCGCGACCATGCTGCTTGCCCCTGAGGGAGACCCGGATGCACTTGACATCCCCACCCCGCGCTCTTACAGAGAGGCGATTTCGGGTGAGTACTCCTCTCAGTGGCAGACAGCCATGGACGCAGAGATGGCTTCCTGGAAGTCCACAGGCACCTACGTCGACGAGGTTCCCCCACCTGGGGCGAACATTGTCAGTGGCATGTGGATTTTCAGGGTGAAGCGGCCGCCGGGTTCTCCGCCTGCCTTCAAGGCACGTTACGTTTCTCGAGGTTTCAGTCAGCGGGCGGGGGTCGACTTCTTTCAGACCTTCTCCCCCACCCCGAAGATGACCACTCTTCGGGTGTTGCTACACGTTGCAGCTCAGCGTGACTACGAGCTGCACTCCCTCGACTTCTCGACAGCTTTCTTGCAGGTTAGCCTTCACGAGGCCATCTGGTTGCGCCGTCCAGAGGGCTTCACTGGGTCGCTTCCTGAGGTCACCCAGTGGAGCCTACGGCGACCAGTGTTACGGCCTGCGTCAGGCGCCCCGCGAGTGCCACGACACACTGAGGACGACACTTGCGGCTCTTGGGTTTGCTCCTTCGACTGCTGACCCGTCGCTGTTCCTACGCACCGACACTACTCTGCCGGCGTTCTACATTCTCGTGTACGTCGACGACTTGGTTTTTTCTACTGCTGACACTGAGGCACTAGCCCTAGTGAAGGCGGAGCTGCAGGAGAGACACACCTGCACTGACCTGGGTGAGCTGCGGAGCTATCTTGGCTTGCAGATCATCCGGGACAGAGCACGGCGCACCATCACCCTCACTCAGTCACACATGGTGCACCAGGTCCTTCAGCGCTTCGGCTTCACGTGGTCCTCGCCACTGCCCACTCCTCTGTCTACCGGCCACTCGCTCTCAGCCCACCTTCGGACGAGTCCGTAGAGCTGAGTGGTCCGTACCTAGAGCTTGTGGGTTGCCTCATGTACCTGATGACGTGCACACGACGTGACCTCGCGTACCCTCTTAGCCTCCTGGCTCGCTACGTGGCACCCGGTAGACACAGAAAGGTGCACTTTGATGCTGCGAAGAGGGTACTGCGTTACTTGTGCAGTACATCGGGCAGGGGCTCGTGCTTGGAGGACGGAGTTCGGTGGTACTCACAGGACACTCTGACGCTTCTTGGGCCGACGACCAGGCGACTCAGCTTTCGTCACAGGGTTACACCTTCAGTCTTGGCTCTGGTTCTGTCTCGTGGAGGTCCACTCGTTCTTCTTCTGTGCTTGGTTCCAGCTGTGAGGCCGAGATCTACGATGGGGCCATGGCTGCACAGGAGCTTCGCTGGCTGACCTACCTGCTGACCGACTTGGGGGAGCGGCCTCGTTCTCCTCCAGTTCTGTACGTCGACAACAAGGCAATGATTGCCTTGTGTCGCGAGCAGAGACTGGAGCACAGAACGAAGCACATTGCTCTTTGCTACTTCCTTGCGCGTGAGCTGCAGCAGCGTGGTCAGCTGCGCCTTGCTTACGTGGCCTCTCGGGCCAACACTGCTGATGTGTTCACCAAGGCCCTTGGGTCTGGTGATCATCAGCGTTTCTGCACTGCTCTTGGGCTTGTGCCCACTCTGCCTCACCTGCTGGTTGCTTGACTTGCTCTTTTTGTACACTGATATATATCTTTATACCTGCTTGTTTACTCTTGCTAGGTTGTGACCAGTGTACTGCCTTGCTATTATAACTCTGCATGTGAACTGGCCTTGTGGCCGCTTGCTTGTGCTAAGATTGTGTGGTGTCCTTGAGATCCACCCTGAGCTTTGCTTTGCTTTGTTCTCTTGCTTGACTGGTCTTGTGACCGTTCGTTGTGTTTTCTATCCCCCACTTTGCCTATGGGGGTGTGTCAAATTACATTTGTATGCTTCTAGGCTGTAGTGGGGCATACTCTAGTGAATACACTTTAGGGTTTCATACTTGTACTCATCCTGCTGCTCAATGCAATCATTCCTGCTAATTCTAACAAGTGCCGGGAGTTCTGTGGGGCGCAGTCGCTCACCCCGCCGTGCAGCGGCCATGACGTGTGCTCCTTCGAGCCTGCCTGCCCTCTGAGGAGATGAGTGCATTTGAGGAGGATGAGCCACCGCCACCCTGTTGTGAACCCGCGGTTCTCCTGATTGCATGTCATGATTTCATTCATCTTTTTCATGCATTGCACTCTCATTCCTGCAATCAATTGCACGCTCCTCTTGCGGCTTTTCCAATAACAGCCAGGGAGTGACTAGGACAACATCTTGATATTGTATGCCAGGGCTTCGATTCAAAGAACACCGACAATGCCGTGCGGTGTAAAAGTTTTGCAAAGGTCTGGAGCGATTTTGTGGGTTATGAAACGGCGACATTTGGTGAGAAAGCAAGCTTGCGATCTGGAGCAAGTTTGCATGGAGCAATCGAACACCACACGATCCAACCGAGCAACAAGCTGGTTGATTGCACCATCCCTCCTCATCGCACTGCACTTTACCCGCGTCAGTGTTTCCCGAGACTCCCGCGAGAGACCTAGACAAGGACGAGATGCACGAAATAAGATATGCGCGTTACTACTTGCCCTTTGGTAGCAGCTGGAGTCAACGTCTCCAGAAACGGCTTAGAGATTCTGTTGTGCTCAAGAGTCTCGATCTCCTGCGCTGCAGCGCGCACACGCAAACGGCTCACGACTCGTGAAAGACGCAAACAACAGAACAGTAAACCGCGCGGATCACGCGGGCAAAGGCCGCGTGCGTGCAGGGCGTTCGGGCGACGGCAGCGCGTCACGCGGTTCGACAACAAGCACACCGTGACGGTTCGACAACGCGCGCGGTACTATCGATGGGGTGTCACGGTTGCGCCGCGGCGATGAGGAGGCGCGGCGGCGTCATGATGGCGGCGAGAGCGACGGTGGTGGCGCTGGTGGTGGCGCGCTGCTGCATGCCCCTCGCACGCGCTGCTCCCGTGGTGGACGCCGAGAGTAAGCCTTATTGGACCAGTAATGCCACGGCGACCGTGCGCCATACTGGCACCCAGGACCGTAACCCTATTCAGCATGCAACATGAACTCCGCACCGGCGGCAACAGGCATTGTTGCTGATGGCTGTGCGTGCGCATCCTGCCATCCCCACCTCAATCCCTCTACCCTCTCCTTGTTCCTTTCGCGTCTCCCCTGGGAATGTTTCCAACACGTTCTGTGGCATGAAATGCTGACTTGCGGTGTTATGGCATGGGTGGTATTGCATGGGTGCATGGCATGGGTGGTATTGCATGGGTGCATGGCATGGGTGCATGGCATGGGTGCATGGCATGGGTGCATGGCATGGGTGCATGGCATGGGTGGTATTGCATGGGTGCATGGCATGGGTGCATGGCATGGGTGGATGTCCTGGATGCATGGCAGTGGAAGCTTTGACGAATCTAGCACATGAATGGAACGATGTGCGGGATGCAAGCACATGGATAAGGGGCAGGGATTGCGACAGCATGGATCACGTGGTGTGATGGTGATGGGCATGTCATTGCACTGTAAGCATGTCATTGCACTGTAAGCATGTCATTGCACTGTAAGCATGTCATCGCACTGTAAGCATGTCATCGCACTGTAAGCATGTCATTGCACTGTAAGCATGTCATTGCACTGTAAGCATGTCATCGCACTGTAAGCATGTCATCGCACTGTAAGCATGTCATTGCACTGTAAGCATGTCATTGCACTGTAAGCATGTCATTGCACTGTAAGCATGTCATTGCACTGTAAGCATGTCATTGCACTGTAAGCATGTCATTGCACTGTAAGCATGTCATTGCAATGTAAGCATGTCATCGCATTGTACACCCTGCCCCCTTGCACTCTCATTCCGTTTCCTTCACATATAAGAAACTGGTATTTTATTCGAATTCAGTTCTCCCTCCCTCCATGCCATCCTTCTCCTCCCACAGCTTCGTCACAAGGTGCGCCCTCGTCGGCCCCCTGCCCACTGCTCTCCTCGCATTGTCCCATCTCAAGGATCTGTGAGAATCCTATTTCACTCGCCCTTCCTCACTGGCCTCACGCGTTCGATTCCCCACTTTCCCCCACTGACTTGCCCTTTCTTGTAATAAATTGTCCTTGCTTATATCGACTTATCCTCGCTTGGACGGACTTGCACGTGACTGTCTTGCATTTGATTGACTGAACACAGCTAGCCCTGTCTTGCCTGCCGTCTCTTCTATCCTCTCATTTGATCTCTTCTCTTCTACTCACCCACATTGGCCCTCTCTTGTGCCTCTCCCGCTTAACTATAATTCTGGGCCCACCCCAATGTCCTTCCTCTTTCCCTCACTGCCTGCAGGGAATTGGAGTATTGCAATCAACTCCCTCGCTCGCTCCCCGATACCCTAGGCAGACTGTCCTCTCCCATGGGCCTGTCAGTTCTACATTCTCCCATGCACCTCCATCTTCTCTCTGCCACGGGTCGTCACAGCACCGTGATCCACCTGTTTTCCATCGGCCAACCTCTATTTTCTCGCCAATCTACCTGCATGTGCACGCCCAACTGCATGCCTACCGCAGACCCCCTTTCTCGGGTGCATCAAATCCACTCCACTTCCTCCCCCTTTCCCATCTTGTCCCCTTTCTCCCCTCCCTGCCGTCTCCCCTCCCTGCATTCTCCCCTCTCTGCCCTCTCTCCCATGCCTGCCTGCCACGGCCCATCAATGCAGCAGCACCGCCTCTCATGGGAATCTCAAAGATTCCGTTCCGCAAGAGCTGGGCAATCTGCAGCAGCTCACCCGCCTGTCAGTGCGCTTGGGGGGGGGGATGCAGTAGGTGCGGGGGGAGTGAGTGGGTGCGTGAGTGGGCGAGAGGTAAGTGAATGAGCGAGGAGTGAGAATGAGTGCAAGTGGTGGAGCCTTACAGCGTTGGTCAACAGCCTCTGGTCAACAGCCTCTGGTCAACAGCCTCTGGTCAATAGTCCCTCTCCCCTGCAGCACCCTCCGATGTCTCTAAACCCTCCACATCTGTGGTGCATGGATGGTGCATGCATGGTGCATGGATGGTGCATGCATGGTGCAAGCAGCTATTTGTCGAGCAACCATCTACTGGAGTCACTACCAATCGAACTCTCCCAGCTGCAGAAGCTGCAGTCTCTGTAAGGCCGGGTGAGGGGCATGTGATGGCATGTGATGGCATGTGATGGCATGTGATGGCATGTGATGGCATGTGATGGCATGTGATGGCATGTGATGGCATGTGATGGCATGTGATGGCATGTGATGGCATGTGATGGCATGTGATGGCATGTGATGGCATGTGATGGCATGTGATGGCATGTGATGGCATGTGATGGCATGTGATGGCATGTGATGGCATGTGATGGCATGTGATGGCATGTGATGGCATGTGATGGCATGTGATGGCATGTGATGGCATGTGATGGCATGTGATGGCATGTGATGGCATGTGATGGCATGTGATGGCATGTGATGGCATGTGATGGCATGTGATGGCATGTGATGGCATGTGATGGCATGTGATGGCATGTGATGGCATGTGATGGCATGTGATGGCATGTGATGGCATGTGATGGCATGTGATGGCATGTGATGGCATGTGATGGCATGTGATGGCATGTGATGGCATGTGATGGCATGTGATGGCATGTGATGGCATGTGATGGCATGTGATGGCATGTGATGGCATGTGATGGCATGTGATGGCATGTGATGGCATGTGATGGCATGTGATGGCATGTGATGGCATGTGATGGCATGTGATGGCATGTGATGGCATGTGATGGCATGTGATGGCATGTGATGGCATGTGATGGCATGTGATGGCATGTGATGGCATGTGATGGCATGTGATGGCATGTGATGGCATGTGATGGCATGTGATGGCATGGGATGGCATGTGATGGCATGTGATGGCATGTGATGGCATGTGATGGCATGGGATGGCACCCTACTGGATGTGCAAAGCCTGAAGGGCTTGTGAAGTGTTGTGCATGACACTGCAGCATGAAAGGGGAATTCTCATGCTCCCACCTCTTGCCATGCTCTCTCACTTCTTTAATTCTCGCTCTTCATTTTCATCTTGCCCATCCTCGCACGCCTATTCGTGGGTTCCTCATACCCCTTCTTCCTGCAACTTCCCTGCTCCTTGCCTCTTCCCTGCTCCTTGCCTCTTGACTGCTCCTTGCCTCTTGACTGCTCCTTGCCTCTTGACTGCTCCTTGCCTCTTGACTGCTCCTTGCCTCTTGACTGCTCCCTGCCTCTTGACTGCTCCTTGCCTCTTGACTGCTCTTCTCACGACTGATCCTTCTCTCTGTGCTGTTTCCATCGTCAGGCACGTGTCAAATCATGATCATCTGTCTGGGGAGCTGCCTGCGTGGATCTTCAGCCTCACAGACTTGACTTCGCTGTGCGTGCTGCCATGCACCATGCCATGCACCATCCCATGCACCATGCCATGCACCATGCCGTGCACAACTCCCCACTTGAACATCCTTTTCCATAAAAAGCGTGCCCTTGTCACCCCTTTCTTATCTCACCTATCTTCTTTGCCCATCATACCATTCCAGAAGTTGCATGTAAGAGTAACTCTCTCCTGCTCCCCATTGCTTCTTCAACTCCCTTTTCATCTTCTTTACCCATACCTTCCCTTCCGGCATTCCCTCAGTAATAATTCCCCTCCCCTTTCTGCGCTTCCCCCCACCCTGTTTCCGCACCCAACGGTCTCAATGCAGCAGGGCTATCCAGCGCAACAACTTTTCAGGCTCCATTCCAGAGGCAATCAGCAGCCTCAAGCAGCTAAGGAAGTTGTGAGTGGTGATGGGGTAGGCATTGCAAGGCACAAGCACTGCAGACACAAGCACTGCAGACTCATGCACTGCATGTGATGTAATTCCATGCGTTATCAACTTTCGCACACCCAACTTCCACCGCTCCACTGCCACTGCTCCTCTCTGTGCCACACTTCACCGCACTGCGCCGCACGTGATCGCAGAGTCCTTGAGGAGAAAGAGCTGGCAGGGTCCATCCCCGAGGCAATAGGAGCGCTCACCAACCTGCACAATCTGTACGGCAGGCAGTGGGATGTGCATCGTTAATGGGGGGATGTGAAAAGGATGGAGATAGTTTTTAGTTTTCTTCTTTTCTTTTCTCTTCTTTTCGTTTTCCTTTGGAGCTTCTCCAATGGCGTGCCTCGTGTGCCTCCACAACTGCTGGGTGCTTTGGATGCACTACACCACATCCGCCACAGTGACGAGCAGCCATCCCATGCCATCCCATGCCATCCCATGCCATCCCATGCCATCCCATGCCATCTCATGCCATCCCATGCCATCCCATGCCATCCCATGCCATCCCATGCCATCTCATGCCATCCCATGCCATCTCATGCCATCCCATGCCATCTCATGCCATCTCATGCCATCCCATGCCATCTCATGCCATCTCATGCCATCCCATGCCATCTCATGCCATCTCATGCCATCCCATGCCATCTCATGCCATCTCATGCCATCCCATGCCATCTCATGCCATCTCATGCCATCCCATGCCATCTCATGCCATCTCATGCCATCTCATGCCATCTCATGCCATCTCATGCCATCCCATGCCATCTCATGCCATCTCATGCCATCCCATGCCATCTCATGCCATCTCATGCCATCCCATGCCATCTCATGCCATCTCATGCCATCCCATGCCATCTCATGCCATCTCATGCCATCTCATGCCATCTCATGCCATCTCATGCCATCTCATGCCATCTCATGCCATCTCATGCCATCTCATGCCATCCATGCCATGCCATCTCATGCCATCTCATGCCATCTCATGCCATCTCATGCCATCCCATGCCATCTCATGCCATCTCATGCCATCCCATGCCATCTCATGCCATCTCATGCCATCCCATGCCATCTCATGCCATCTCATGCCATCCCATGCCATCTCATGCCATCTCATGCCATCTCATGCCATCTCATGCCATCTCATGCCATCTCATGCCATCTCATGCCATCTCATGCCATCTCATGCCATCTCATGCCATCTCATGCCATCTCATGCCATCCCATGCCATCTCATGCCATCTCATGCCATCTCATGCCATCTCATGCCATCTCATGCCATCCCATGCCATCTCATGCCATCTCATGCCATCCCATGCCATCTCATGCCATCTCATGCCATCTCATGCCATCTCATGCCATCTCATGCCATCTCATGCCATCTCATGCCATCTCATGCCATCTCATGCCATCTCATGCCATCTCATGCCATCTCATGCCATCTCATGCCATCTCATGCCATCTCATGCCATCTCATGCCATCTCATGCCATCTCATGCCATCTCATGCCATCTCATGCCATCCCATGCCATCTCATGCCATCTCATGCCATCCCATGCCATCTCATGCCATCTCATGCCATCCCATGCCATCTCATGCCATCTCATGCCATCCCATGCCATCTCATGCCATCTCATGCCATCCCATGCCATCTCATGCCATCTCATGCCATCTCATGCCATCTCATGCCATCTCATGCCATCTCATGCCATCTCATGCCATCTCATGCCATCTCATGCCATCCCATGCCATCTCATGCCATCTCATGCCATCTCATGCCATCTCATGCCATCTCATGCCATCCCATGCCATCTCATGCCATCTCATGCCATCCCATGCCATCTCATGCCATCTCATGCCATCCCATGCCATCTCATGCCATCTCATGCCATCCCATGCCATCTCATGCCATCTCATGCCATCTCATGCCATCTCATGCCATCTCATGCCATCCCATGCCATCTCATGCCATCTCATGCCATCCCATGCCATCTCATGCCATCTCATGCCATCTCATGCCATCTCATGCCATCTCATGCCATCCCATGCCATCTCATGCCATCTCATGCCATCCCATGCCATCTCATGCCATCTCATGCCATCCCATGCCATCTCATGCCATCTCATGCCATCCCATGCCATCTCATGCCATCTCATGCCATCCCATGCCATCTCATGCCATCTCATGCCATCCCATGCCATCTCATGCCATCTCATGCCATCTCATGCCATCTCATGCCATCTCATGCCATCCCATGCCATCTCATGCCATCTCATGCCATCTCATGCCATCTCATGCCATCTCATGCCATCTCATGCCATCCCATGCCATCTCATGCCATCTCATGCCATCTCATGCCATCTCATGCCATCTCATGTCATCTCATGCCATCTCATGCCATCTCATGCCATCCCATGCCATCTCATGCCATCTCATGCCATCCCATGCCATCTCATGCCATCTCATGCCATCCCATGCCATCTCATGCCATCTCATGCCATCCCATGCCATCTCATGCCATCTCATGCCATCTCATGCCATCTCATGCCATCTCATGCCATCCCATGCCATCTCATGCCATCTCATGCCATCCCATGCCATCTCATGCCATCTCATGCCATCTCATGCCATCTCATGCCATCTCATGCCATCCCATGCCATCTCATGCCATCTCATGCCATCCCATGCCATCTCATGCCATCTCATGCCATCCCATGCCATCTCATGCCATCTCATGCCATCCCATGCCATCTCATGCCATCTCATGCCATCCCATGCCATCTCATGCCATCTCATGCCATCCCATGCCATCTCATGCCATCTCATGCCATCTCATGCCATCTCATGCCATCTCATGCCATCCCATGCCATCTCATGCCATCTCATGCCATCTCATGCCATCTCATGCCATCTCATGCCATCCCATGCCATCTCATGCCATCTCATGCCATCTCATGCCATCTCATGCCATCTCATGCCATCCCATGCCATCTCATGCCATCTCATGCCATCCCATGCCATCTCATGCCATCTCATGCCATCTCATGCCATCTCATGCCATCTCATGCCATCTCATGCCATCTCATGCCATCTCATGCCATCTCATGCCATCTCATGCCATCTCATGCCATCTCATGCCATCTCATGCCATCTCATGCCATCCCATGCCATCTCATGCCATCTCATGCCATCCCATGCCATCTCATGCCATCTCATGCCATCTCATGCCATCTCATGCCATCTCATGCCATCCCATGCCATCTCATGCCATCTCATGCCATCTCATGCCATCTCATGCCATCTCATGCCATCTCATGCCATCCCATGCCATCTCATGCCATCTCATGCCATCTCATGCCATCTCATGCCATCTCATGCCATCTCATGCCATCTCATGCCATCTCATGCCATCCCATGCCATCTCATGCCATCTCATGCCATCCCATGCCATCTCATGCCATCTCATGCCATCCCATGCCATCTCATGCCATCTCATGCCATCCCATGCCATCTCATGCCATCTCATGCCATCTCATGCCATCTCATGCCATCTCATGCCATCCCATGCCATCTCATGCCATCTCATGCCATCCCATGCCATCTCATGCCATCTCATGCCATCTCATGCCATCTCATGCCATCTCATGCCATCTCATGCCATCCCATGCCATCTCATGCCATCTCATGCCATCCCATGCCATCTCATGCCATCTCATGCCATCCCATGCCATCTCATGCCATCTCATGCCATCCCATGCCATCTCATGCCATCTCATGCCATCCCATGCCATCTCATGCCATCTCATGCCATCCCATGCCATCTCATGCCATCTCATGCCATCTCATGCCATCTCATGCCATCTCATGCCATCCCATGCCATCTCATGCCATCTCATGCCATCTCATGCCATCTCATGCCATCTCATGCCATCCCATGCCATCTCATGCCATCTCATGCCATCTCATGCCATCTCATGCCATCTCATGCCATCCATGCCATCTCATGCCATCTCATGCCATCCCATGCCATCTCATGCCATCTCATGCCATCTCATGCCATCTCATGCCATCTCATGCCATCTCATGCCATCTCATGCCATCTCATGCCATCTCATGCCATCTCATGCCATCTCATGCCATCTCATGCCATCTCATGCCATCTCATGCCATCTCATGCCATCTCATGCCATCCCATGCCATCTCATGCCATCTCATGCCATCTCATGCCATCTCATGCCATCTCATGCCATCCCATGCCATCTCATGCCATCTCATGCCATCCCATGCCATCTCATGCCATCTCATGCCATCCCATGCCATCTCATGCCATCTCATGCCATCCCATGCCATCTCATGCCATCTCATGCCATCCCATGCCATCTCATGCCATCTCATGCCATCTCATGCCATCTCATGCCATCTCATGCCATCTCATGCCATCTCATGCCATCTCATGCCATCTCATGCCATCCCATGCCATCTCATGCCATCTCATGCCATCTCATGCCATCTTATGCCATCTCATGCCATCCCATGCCATCTCATGCCATCTCATGCCATCCCATGCCATCTCATGCCATCTCATGCCATCCCATGCCATCCCATGCCATCTCATGCCATCTCATGCCATCCCATGCCATCTCATGCCATCTCATGCCATCCCATGCCATCTCATGCCATCTCATGCCATCTCATGCCATCTCATGCCATCTCATGCCATCCCATGCCATCTCATGCCATCTCATGCCATCTCATGCCATCTCATGCCATCTCATGCCATCCCATGCCATCTCATGCCATCTCATGCCATCTCATGCCATCTCATGCCATCTCATGCCATCCCATGCCATCTCATGCCATCTCATGCCATCCCATGCCATCTCATGCCATCTCATGCCATCTCATGCCATCTCATGCCATCTCATGCCATCTCATGCCATCTCATGCCATCTCATGCCATCTCATGCCATCTCATGCCATCTCATGCCATCTCATGCCATCTCATGCCATCTCATGCCATCTCATGCCATCTCATGCCATCTCATGCCATCTCATGCCATCTCATGCCATCTCATGCCATCCCATGCCATCTCATGCCATCTCATGCCATCCCATGCCATCTCATGCCATCTCATGCCATCCCATGCCATCTCATGCCATCTCATGCCATCCCATGCCATCTCATGCCATCTCATGCCATCCCATGCCATCTCATGCCATCTCATGCCATCTCATGCCATCTCATGCCATCTCATGCCATCTCATGCCATCTCATGCCATCTCATGCCATCTCATGCCATCCCATGCCATCTCATGCCATCTCATGCCATCTCATGCCATCTTATGCCATCTCATGCCATCCCATGCCATCTCATGCCATCTCATGCCATCCCATGCCATCTCATGCCATCTCATGCCATCCCATGCCATCCCATGCCATCTCATGCCATCTCATGCCATCCCATGCCATCTCATGCCATCTCATGCCATCCCATGCCATCCCATGCCATCTCATGCCATCTCATGCCATCTCATGCCATCTCATGCCATCTCATGCCATCTCATGCCATCCCATGCCATCTCATGCCATCTCATGCCATCTCATGCCATCTTATGCCATCTCATGCCATCCCATGCCATCTCATGCCATCTCATGCCATCCCATGCCATCTCATGCCATCTCATGCCATCCCATGCCATCCCATGCCATCTCATGCCATCTCATGCCATCCCATGCCATGCCACCATTCCATGCCTTCCTGTGCCATTTCATGCCACGCCATGCCATGCCATGCCATTCCGTTCCATGCCATGCCGTGCCATTCCATGCCATGCCAGGCCATGCCTTTTTATGCCATCCCATGCCCTCAATGCCACCACACGGCAGGCAATTGCACTGCAACAGGCTGAGTGGCACCATTCCCGCCTTCATTACCCACCTCTCTGGACTCACCACCCTGTGCGCCCATTCTCTCTCCATCCCCTCTCTCCCATTCTCTCTCCATCCCCTCTCTCCCATTCTCTCTCCATCCCCCTCTCTCCCATTCTCTCTCCATCCCCCTCTCTCCCATTCTCTCTCCATCCCCCTCTCTCCTATTCTCTCTCCATCCCCCTCTCTCCCATTCTCTCTCCCATTCTCTCTCCATCCCCCTCTCTCCCATTCTCTCTCCATCCCCTCTCTCCCATTCTCTTTTCATCCCCTCTCTCCCATTCTCTCTCCATCCCCTCTCTCCCATTCTCTCTCCATCCCCCTCTCTCCCATTCTCTCTCCATCCCCCTCTCTCCCATTCTCTCTCCATCCCTCTCTCTCCCATTCTCTCTCCATCCCCCTCTCTCCCATTCTCTCTCCATCCCCCTCTCTCCCAACCTCTCTCCACACCCCTCTTTCCCATTCTCTCTCCACCCCGCTCTCTCCCATTCTACCTACGCCCTTAGCTTGTCTTCTCTGCATGATTAACAGGAATTTACCATAACAGTACAAAACATTACATTCTTTGCAGTCAGCTGTGTAGGTCGTCCACTTCAGCGTTCTGCATACCACTCACTCCCCTTGATCATCCCTTCCTTCCACCTCCCTGCATTCAGTGGCTCTTCTTCCTTTCTCCCTCGCCTCTCTTCCCCTCTCCACCTTCCCATCTCCGCCCATCTCCTCACCTTCCTCCCCCTTTCCGCCCTCCGCCCACCCTCTTCATGCTCCAGGAAACTTCGGAGCAACAGCAGTCTCTCAGGCTCCATTCCAGAGGCAATCAGCAGCCTCAAGCAGCTAAGGGAGTTGTGAGTGGTGATGGGGAGTTGTAGCTCATGTTGCCGCTTGTGCGACCCATCCTATCCCATCCCATCCCATCCCATCCCGTCCCGTCCGGTCCCGTCCCGTCCCGTCCCGTCCCCGGTCCCGGTCCCGGTCCCCGTCCCCGTCCCCGTCCCCGTCCCCGTCCCCGTCCCGGTCCCCGTCCCCGTCCCGGTCCCCGTCCCGGTCCCCGTCCCGGTCCCCGTCCTGGTCCCCGTCCCGGTCCCCGTCCCATTCCCATCCCATCCCATCCCATCCCATCCCATCCCATCCCATCCCATTCCCATCCCATGCCATACAATACCATCCCAATCCATCTTTCCCATCCCTTCCCATCCAATTTCATCCCATCCCATCTCTCTCCCTGCCCTCTTCCCTACTGCTTTTTCTCCCATTCTCCTCCACGCTTCATCGCCTGTATCTCCTTTATAAGCATCAAGTTACCATAACGGCATTTAAACTTCTTGTCAGCTATGAAAGAATGACATCGCACCATCATTTTACACGATAATGCTTCGGATTAATAAAACAGCACTGCTTCCTTCCATCCATCCACCACTTCAGCTTTCCCCTTCCATTCTCTTATTCATGATTGCCCTTCCTGCCTTTTACCTCCAGTGCCTCCCCTTCCCCTTGCCACCCTTCCCCTCTCCGCCTCCAACCATCCGCCTTCCCCCATCCGCCACCTTCCTCCCACCTTCAGAACCCTCTTTGACAACGGTCTCTCAGGCTCCATTCCGGACGCAATCAGCAGCCTGCAGCTGCTGCAGGAGTTGTGAGTGGTGATGGGGCAGGCATGCAAGGTGCTGTGGGGTGATCAGGTGTGGAGCCTGATAGGTCCCCCTCAGTGAGCAAGTGAGAGGGAGAGTGAGAGGCCGAAAGAGGGTGGGCGAGTCAATGACGTGTGGGTGAAAGTTTGAGCGGGTGAGTGGGTGAGGGGTTGAAAGAGTGAGTGACTCAGTGACAGAATTCCATCCCTTCACATCACATCCCATCCAATCACATCCAGGCCCTCAAATTTCAGCATTTGTACGCAGGTTCAGCCTTTTTTTTCGGTGCCAGGGCAGATTTGTCGGCTTTTTACGCAATTCTCTAATGCAATATGGCATTTTCTGCTAACTTCCTGTGTAAATCTGTGTGAGAACTCTGTTTTTCCTCCTGCTCCAAAACCTGGGCCTTATCCCATCAAAGTCCATCCGATCCCATCATCCCGTGCCATGCTATGCCATGCCATGCCATGCCATGCCATGCCATGCCATGCCATGCTATGCCATGCCATGCCAGGGACCTCCACTGCAACAGGCTGAGTGGCACCATTCCGGCCTGCATCACCCACCTCACCGCACTCACCAGCCTGTGCGCCCATTCTCCCTCCACCCCCCCGTCCCCCTCTCCGCTCTCCATGCCTTCTTTCCGCCTGCCTCTCTCTGCCAAGCATTGGGGGTTTGAGAGTGTGGGTAGGATGAGGATTGGAATCAGAGGGAGGGAACGGGACTGAGGGGATTCGAGCGCAATGAATAGGAGAGTGGGGAGGCACTTTTTGTTGACTTGAATCCCGTCTAATCTGCAGGTCTGTGTCCCTCAAGGCACAAACCTTTCAGCAACAGCACTCATACTTTTCCAAGGCACCATATCTGCTTTCTTATCCTCCACACCTCCTCACTTCTCCTCCACTTCTCCTCTCCTCCTCTCCTCTTCTCCTCCTCTCCCCCTCCTCCTCCCCTCTTCTCCTCTTATCCTCGTCCCAACTTTCCCTCTTCGTCTCTTCTCCTCGTCACCTCTTCCCCTCTTCGTCTCTCCTTTCCTTCATGTCCATTCATCCACCTGTCTTCAGGATGCTCAACGCCAATCACCTTGCAGGGACGATACCTGCTGCAATCACCACGCTCACTAATCTCGAAATCCTGTCAGTGTTACTGCCTCGGTCGTCCCAACACCCAAGTGTGATCCTTGAATGGTGGAGTCTTTGAGTAGTCTTAAAAGCAACCTGGTAGTGTTGCCTGCCGAGTCGACTCAAAACGCATGTCTGTCTAGTCACCAACTGCACTCATCTCCAACAACTGTCAGAACTGCCCATCCCTTCTTTTCTGTGAAACGCCACCCTTACTGCTCGCTTTAGCTCGTTTCCTGCCACCCGTGCGTCTCCTCCTTCTGCTTGCCGCATCATGAAGTGTGTCAGCCTCATCCTGAAAGCTATCCATTCGTTCCCTCCCCTCCTGAGTCCACAATCATTCCTGTAGAGCCATGTCTTACTGATACTTGAAAATGCCGATTATCTATACAGCGCTGGCAAATGAAAATTGGATTCGACGACTCAAGATTCAACAGCTCAAAATCCTACTACTGTTTCATCACTCCCTTTTTCCTTCAGTCGCTCTTTCCATACACTCCCATTCCCAACCTCTGCACTCCCACCTTCCCTTGGCATCACAGCCACCTTGAGAACAACCAGCTTACGGGAGAGCTGCCCTCCTTCCACCACATAGCCCGTCTCACTTCGCAATACGGACTGTCTGCAGACCACAACTACCTCACATCCACAGCAGACCCTTTCCCTTTCTACGCTACCGGCCAAGACAGCCCTTCAGAATCTCACAGCTTGTGTCTGTTCGACCACAACTGCCTTGAAAACGACGCAATCTCCTGCGCCAGTTGGCAGAACCAGAGGTATGGCAGCGAGTGCCGGGCGTTCTGCGGGGCGCAGCCGCTCACCCCGCCGTGCAGCGGCCATGGCGTGTGCTCCTTTGTGCCTGACCCCTCTTACGACATGTCTGCCTGTGAGGATGAGCATGAGCTGCCGCCACCCTACTGTGCACGTGAACCTGAGGGCCAGTGCGACTGTGATGAGGGGTACACGCCAGGGACTGCTGCTGGCACGTGCGTCCCTCATGGTATGCCGCCTGCTGCCTCAAGTTGTGCCAGCTACTAAATTCTGTCACTATCCGGCTCCTGCTTTCTTCTTCGGTTACTTTTCAGCCATAAGCTCGTCCAAGCTGAATCTTGTCTTCCCAAGCCTGCTTGCCAGCATGCCTGCTTGCAAACATGCCTGCTTGCAAACATGCCTGCTTGCAAACATGCCTGCTTGCAAACCCGCCTGCTTGCAAACCCGCCTGCTTGCAAATATGCCTGCTTGCAAACACGCCTGCTTGCAAACATGCATGCTTGCAAACATGCCTGCTTGCAAACATGCCTGCTTGCAAACATGCCTGCTTGCAAACATGCCTGCTTGCAAACATGCCTGCTTGCAAACATGCCTGCTTGCAAACATGCCTGCTTGCAAACATGCCTGCTTGCAAACATGCCTGCTTGCTGGCATCCCTTCTTGCTTTCCACCAAATATGCTGAATTTACACACGCATCACCTTTTCCCACACCTCCTTCCTCTCCGTATCCACCCTGCATGCACCAACCCACCCTCTGAACCACCAGGCATTGCAGCCGTGGGGGTGACTCTGTCTGCTCTCCAGGCGCCCCGAAACCTGCTGCTGCTGCTGCTGCTGCTTCCACTGGCGGTGCTGCTGCTGCTGGCCTTCAAACTGCCGCAGTTGCTGAGGCGCCTCAAGAATCGACCCCCCACACACTACTTCTTTTCAAAGAGAGCCCTTGCTGCCCGACAAGCTGCCATGGGTGCGGAGATCAATTGCTAGTGCAGTACTGCCAAGGGTTAAGAGTGTATTCCTACACCTCGTATCAAGCAACCTCATATCAAGCTCACACTGAAAAATCCCCTAAACCCAAAACCTCTCGCTAGTTTTACCAGGCAAAAAGTACAATCTTGATACGAGGTGGCCTGATATGAGGCCGTAGGAATACGCTCTAACTACCACGACAAACTGTTTCTCTTTTTATCTTCCAAGAAATTACTGCCACCTACAAATGACTACCTTTTGTTATGTTGCACGGCCACGCAATGCGAGCCTGAGGAGTCTGCTAGAGTAAGGATCTTGAATAGGATAGGATTGCCTTAGAGACTTGTGGTAGGAACCTTGTGCATAGAGAATGTAAATAACAAGATTGATTAAAATGATAAATTACACACAATAAATAGATCTAGCTAGCCATGTACAGGGGTACAATCCCTTATCCTAACTGATTTGCAGGCAGTTCTACAGTGACGCTGTCCATAAATCTTCTTCTTGTTATCGAGTCGCTGCGTGTAACTGTATGGACAGTTACGCCTGTTGCCATTCTTCGCTGGTGAGTCGTCGGTCCAGATGGTCAACAGTCAAGACAGTTTGACCTTTGCGACTGTTGACCTTCCTGCACTTGTTATGGGCTAATCCGATACTTCTGCAGGTGCTGCCTCGGTAGTGACGGGTGCGAATCGCGATACAGCTGCACCTACGGGAATGCTTAAGTCGGTTCCTTTCTTACTCCAACAGAGTCTAAAACGAATCAGAGGGCCTCCTGGATGTCCAATCATGGTTGCCTTCTATAATACCATAGTATCATCAGACGCCATCATAATCCTTATCGAAATATGTAGTGCCGTATGGCCCCGGATAGTACCGCATGTGCGCTTATAATAAAATCATGTTTTTTAAGGGGGGCGCTTCTTAATGAGTTTTGGGTATAAGCGCATGGGCTTATGTAATGACAAATACAAATTTAAAATTTAAACAGACCAACATGTACATCTTATTCTTGCAATTACAAGCGAGTCGAAATTTTTTAGCGGCAGAAATCAGAATCACGCGCGGGCGATTCTCTGTCGGCGCACAGTGGGGAAGGGCACTAGTGGGGGCCCTATATGTGGGGGGGCGTGAGGGCACGAGGGCAGCTAGGGAGGTAGATGGGGCGGAAGCGAAAAATCTAACGTAATCTGATACTGTGCTACGAAATGAATAAACTTATGAGAGCACACTAGGGGGATAGATATAGCATCCCTTACCCTAGTATGACCCAGACTAGCCTACAAAGTACACACACAAAACAATACATGTGTAAGCTCACAGTTATAGCCAAGAGAGATTCTGTCAAATATAATAGTTATAGGCTGTAGTGAGTTGCATTCTAGAGGGTACAGATGCTAGGGTTTCCTATTTGTATCCAACACTTTGGTAGTTCATACATTCCGTTGTGTTTAGATTCTGAGATGGTATCCGAGTAGGTTCCGTTCCTAGCTCCCCGCCCTACCCTAGCCTGGCATAGCGCCTTCGCGCCTTAGCGCCCTCCGCGCCCTCCGCACCCTCCGCGCCCTTTGCGCCTTAGCACCCTCCGCGCCCTCCGCGCCTCCTCGCCTTAGCGCCCTCCTAGCCCGGCCGCGCCCTCCGCGCCTTCGCGCCCTCCTAGCGCCCCTCCCCACGGTCGACCGCCCCTCCCCACTGTCGTGCGCGCCCTCCTCACCGCTCCGCGCCCTTAGCCCGTCGCCCAGGCCCGCGCCCTAGCCCGTCGCCCAGGCCCGCGCCCTAGCCCGTCGCCCAGGCCCGCGCCCTAGCCCGTCGCCCAGGCCCGCGCCCTAGCCCGTCGCCCAGGCCCGCGCCCTAGCCCGTCGCCCAGGCCCGCGCCCTAGCCTGTCGCCCAGGCCCGCGCCCTAGCCCGTCGCCCAGGCTCGCGCCCTAGCCCGTCGCCCAGGCCCGCGCCCTCGCCCGTCGCCCAGGCCCGCGCCCTAGCCCATCGCCCAGGCCCGCGCCCTAGCCCGTCGCCCAGGCCCGCGCCCTAGCCCGTCGCCCCAGCCCGCGCCCTAGCCCGTCGCCCCGGCCCATGCCCTAGCCCGTCGCCCAGGCCCGCGCCCTAGCCCGTCGCCCAGGCCCGCGCCCTAGCCCGTCGCCCAGGCCCGCGCCCTCGCCCGTCGCCCCAGCTCGCACCCTCGCCTAGGCCCGCGCCCTCGCCTTAGCCCTCCCCCCCACCTTAGCCCGCGCCCTACCAACGCCCTTGCCAACGGCCGCGCCCTAACCCACGCGCCACCTCCTCCTAACGTCCCAACCGCCCCTTCTCACCTAGCCACCGCCTTGTCCCCCGGGCTCAAGCCGTTCGTACTGCTACTGGCTTCTCACTCCGCGGCTGGCAGCCGCCTCTCGCTCCGGTCACTAGATTTCGACCCGGGTCGCATTTGGCTCCTAGCCTCTAGCCCCTAGCCCGGTTTCCTCCTCCACTGGCGCTCCTACGACTCCTAGGTTCACCTCCGCCGTTCCTAGCCTAGCGTCCAATATGGACTCCTCCCGTCGCCTTCGTTTCGATGCGGAGGGGCGACCGATCGAGTTCAGTACCTGGCAGCGCCAGGCCACGCGCTACCTCACCAGTCAGCGTCAGGACGGCGCCACCATGTGGGCCCACGCGTCTGGTGCCCTCAAGGAGCCCCTGTCTCCCGACCCCCTCTCGACCGACCCAGAGCCGACTCCTGCGGCGCAGGCGGACTATGACCGTCGTGTCTTGGCGAGGGACGTGTGGGACTCTCGCGACGCTGTCGCCGCTCTTGCGCTGACGGAGCTCCTCACCCCGACTGAGGCCGCCCACTTTGACCAGGTGGAGACAGCTCAGGGGGTTTGGGCTGCTGTTGTTGCACGCTATTCCACCCCTTCCTCTGCCTCCCTCAGTCGCCTTCTCATGCCGTTCGTGTTTCCCGACCTCGGCTCGTTTGCGACTGTGTCCGACCTAGTGACTCACCTCCGCTCACTTGACGCCGGTTTCCGAGCGGCCTGTACCGACGCCCAGCTTCTTGCTGCTCCCCCCCCCATGTGGCTCACTGTGCACTGGTTAGTCACCCGCCTCCCTGACCGCCTTGCCACTGCTCGCAACGCGCTTCTCCAGAAGCACCCCACTGAGCTCACTATCGATCTCCTTGAGACCGCTCTCGGGACGATCGAGAGTAGCCTCCTCACCGTTGCCTCCGCCACTGACGCGGTGGCCCCCCGTCTCTTTGCGGGGTGTGCCGCCCCTCAGCTTCCCACTTTCACTGCTACCCGCGCTTCTGCTGCTGTGTCAGTTTCTGGGGACACTGCTGCCGTTTCTGCCGCAGACTGGCAGAAACGGGGCAAGAGTGGCAAGAAGGGCGGGAAGGGGGGAGGTGGAGGCGGTGGAGGCGGCGGTGGAGGTGGCGGTGGAGCTGGGAGCGGCGGTGGTGGAGACAGTGGCGGCGGCGGCGGCGGAGGTGCACCAGGCGGAGGGGGCCTTGGAGGAGGTGCAGGACAGACAGGCCCGCCCACTGGCGGTGGCCCGACGGGTGGGGGTGTTGGACCCCAGCAGCAGCAGTCGCAGCAGCACCAGCCACAGCAGGGACAGCAGCAGCAGCAGGGACCGCAGCAGCAGCAGGCACCGCAGCAGTTCCATCAGTGGGGGGCCCCACTGCAGTGGGGTCCGCAGCAGCACTGGGGTCCCCCGCCGCAGTGGGGTCCGGGAGGACCAGGGAGCACCGGCCGCAGCGGCAGCACTTCCAGCTGGGCCCCTCGCCCCCCTCGCCGTGACACTGGCCCCTGCACCCACTGGTGCCTCACCGGACCTGGCAGCCCCTGTCTCTGCGGTCGTGATGACCACTCTGCCGCACGGTGCTTCCGCCGCCTCTGTCAACGGGAGTTGTGTGTTGGCCCCGTCCTCGCTTGGGCGGAGCCGATTTCGTGGTTGGGTGTACGGGAGGTGCAGCCGACTTGCAGAAGTGGGCGACGCCGACTTGGGCGAGCTGGTCGACGGGTTTGGTCGACTTGCACGGGGCCACTGCAATGCCGTCGACTTCAGCTGGTGGTCGGCGATGTGGCGCGTCGACCTGGAAGTCGGCGCCGACTTGGGAGGTCGCCGACTTGGGAGGTCGTCGACTTGCAAGGTCGCCGACTTGGGAGGTCGCCGACTTGCAAGGTCGCCGACTTGCGAGGTCGTCGACTTCAAGAGGTCGGCCTGGAAGTTGGCGCCGACTTAGAAGGGGCGTCGACTTGGTGACGCCGACCTGGGGTAGCCGACTGGGTGGTCGTCGACTTGGGAGGTCGTCGGGCACATACAGGAGCAGCTGGTCGACGTGGTTGCCCGGTCGACCGGGTTACCCGAGTGACGAGGTTCTGCGAAGGCACGCGACAGTCGCCCAGGTGTCCGTGGCGAGGCCGACCTCGGTGGTGGTATCCCGAGGTCGACGTGGCTGATCAGATGCAGTCGTCAACACGAGAGCGATTTGGTGTGTGCGCTGTGCAGGTGACGAGGCACAGCACGCCAATCATCTGCGAGCACCTGCGAAGTAGGTGCACTGCTGTCCTGCGGGTGCAACGCTGGCACGCCGTCGACCTGCAGCGTTGGCACGCCGTCGACTTTGCACTGATGGAGCGCGGTCGACCAAGTCGTGCTGGAACGCGGTCGACCATGCTGCGCTGGCAGTCGACCGACCTGAATGCTAGCTCTGATGTAGTCTTGTCTTGCCAACTTGATTGTACCATTGTTGTCAACCTTCTCTAGTGAAACTCTTGCCAAATTGCCCCGTGAAATAGCAAGCAGTGTGTGCACTAGGAAAACGACTAAGGACCAACGAACGCAGAGATCACACGAGCACCCGTGCCTAGCCCGTAGTCTAGCTCCCGTTGTAGTAGTTATCTCCGCAGCCTCGACGACCTCTACCGTGCTCGTTGGGGCCCTACGGCAACCACGCCTCGCTGGGCTCGCCTGTTAGCCCGTAAGATTGATGTGTTTGATCTGTCCATGGACGATGCTCGTCAGCATGCTTTGTATGCTG